TTGCAAATAAAATGAAATGGAGGTATACGGTTACTATGACATCAGTTACATACTCCATCGTATTCGTATAGTCAAAGTCCGAAGATATAATTTCATAGAATGTACATGTACTCCATGTTCTTACTAAGCATGTAATTGTAAACCAATAGTAAGGAGGTTGCAATACTAGTTGTATTTCAATTTGTAATGACGGCTGAAGTGGAAACTGTGTACTAGAATAAACCACAGCAGTTGGTTAATGGCTTGGAATGGTCAGCAACTTCACCACCCTTCAGAAATCTCATATGCGTGCGTGTAATGGCCCTACTTTTTTATATATATAATTTTTTAAAAAAAAACTACCTACTCAATAGTCAATACCACTTGTTCCAGGTACGTTCTTGCACCGTTATATCTCGGGGTTGGTAAAGGTTTACCGTCCAATTTAATACCTGTACAGTCAACACAGATTAACTAGCCCAGGGGGTTATCCGGGAATAACCGCTCCGATACTGCAGTTAGCAACCTGAAGAGAAGAATTGAAGGAATAAGAGAGAGAAAGAGTTTTTTTTAGAGAGGGAGAGAGAGATTGTACCTCTATTACGAAAATATGGCTGGGTATATAGAGGAAAATAACCAAGTTGGTGCCACCTACGGCTATAAGTGGCAAATCGACCTTGTAGACAGTAGGTGTCTACGTGGTCGGAAGCAGCTCTCCACGTGGCGGAAGTAGCTCTCCACGTGGTCGAGAATCGGGCCATTATGGATGTTCAAAGGATTTGCTAATCGATGATTAAGTAGTAATACGAGGCCATTATCATCTAAATAGCGACGTTGTCGGTATTGTCCCGTACACCACTATTAAAAATTCACAATTATATTGTTTGATTGACAAACAAATTTATGAAAATTTTGATTTTTCTAAAATTATATGAATTTTTTTGTAAACCATATTGCAACTTATTTTAATTATAATTAGAACTTGAATAATTCGTGAAAATACGGTAAACAAACAAACTCTTACTTTAATCTTCAAAAAAAAAAAAAAAACTCTTACTTTTATTTTTACATCTCTCTTCTCAAATGATCCCACTCCTGCTTTGTACTCCGTAATATACTACGTAGTACTATTTTTTTTTTTTTTGAAAAAATGTAGTACTACATATTTAATCACTCCCTTATCTTTCTTTTTTTTTTTTTTTTTTATTTTACGGATTACTTTCTCTGTTTCTTATTTTTTGTCATACGTGGATTATTTCACAGTTTCCAAGACGGAGTATATCTCCATTTCTATACCCGTAAAATTTTTAAAATTTAATACTCAATATATATAATATAATATACAATGAGACATGATTTTTTTTTTTACTCATATTTGCATAGGGCGAAAAATAAAGATAAAAGGAGTAATTTTAAAATTTTCAACAAACCTTACCCCACCCAAACGATACTCCTACTACTGTAATTATTTCACTACATTCAACTAACTCTTTTAAAATTACTCATACAAGTCAAGCTAAGAGACACACACGATGCATGTATGTGCAATATAAAAAAGCTATCAAGTTCGATTTTTTTCCAAGAATGTTATCCACCATATTCTAATAAAATAAAATAATTAGTGGTTTTAAAAATTGTTGTTAAAAAGTATAGTTATCATAAAACAATATGTTAGTAATAAAATACTAGTATACGTCTATGAGTTCATGAGGATAAAAAATAGAGTATGAAACTATGAACTATCTCCCACCCCCCCCCCCCCCAAAAAAAAAGGATGGTAGTTTTTTTTCAAAGGAGGTAGTTTTAATTTTGTTAATAAAAAAAAAAAGAAAGAAAATGAGAAGGGTATTTTGGGAAAGTGAAATTTATCACCTAAAACCCCTTCTCACTTTATATATTACTCCGTACTAAGGGCCTGTTCTCATACGCTGAACTCAGCTGAATTGAACTGAAAATAAACTAAACTGAACTGAACTGCACTGAACTTATTAATTAGTGATTTTTAACTACGGATTAGTGATCTTTAATTATTTATTGTTATACATATGTGTATTTACAAATATACATATTAAAATATTTAAGAAAAATATACTATATAATTATAATATTTACGAAAAATATATTACAAATATGAAACCCCAAAACATTTTAAAAACATATACTATTTAATTAAAAATAAAATATTATTATGACAAAAGAACACAAAATACTTTGTAAAAAATTAACACAATTATAAAAAAAAATAAAAATAAAGTAAAAGCTGGAACAAAATTAGTTAAGGTGTGTAGTACTCTCATTTTGTCAATGAGTGTAACGGTAGAAGTGTGTATCAAAAAATATAACCATTTGAAATGAATTGTTTCAATATTATTATTATTATTATTATTATTATTATTATTATTATTATAATTTATTGATTATTGTTATTATTATTATTATTATTATTAAAGATTATTATTATTATTAAAGATTAATTTATTATTATTATTAAAGATTAATTTATTATTATTATTATTATTAAAGATTAATTTATTATTATTATTATTATTAAAGATTAATTTATTATTATTATTATTATTATTATTATTATTGTCATTGTAATAAGAGTTTAAAAGAATGAAATTTGGCTTTATATCATTAGCAATATCATTAGACATAAACTGAATTGAACTGAAATTCAACATATGAAAACAGACCCTAATTTACTACGAAGTATAGATTACTATATATATGTTAAATTGTTAATCAAAACGATGCCTTAAAATAAAAATATTTTGAGAGAATATTGAAATAATACTCGTTTTTGTACGCCACACATACAGTCTGAACAGTGCTGACAAATAACAGTAAAACAAAGATAAAAAAAAAAGAAAAAGAAAAAGGAGTAGTTCACTAAAAGACAAAAACTCAGGTGTCAGCTTATTGATAAATCCCACACGAAGAGTGAACAATAAAGTAATCATTGATGCATCGCTCAATTATTAGAAGGAAAAAAAAAAGGTAAAACCCTTGTTTCACATCTACTAAACCTTATGTAATTTTTGCCTAACTTATGCCCTGTTTAGTTCGCCATATATTTGAATTTATTTGATTTGGTCTAATCTGATTTGATCTGAATGTTAGATTTGATTAAACTTTGACTTTACATATACGATAATCTATATGGAAAAAATATATCGAGTGAGGTATCATATAATGTGTATTTTATTAATATGTGATTTTCAGACTTTTTATTACGAAATTAAAGATATTTAGCGATAAAAAACTGCACATAAAATGATGATTTGATCTGAACTTATTTTTTCTGATCTGATCTGAACTTATTTTTTCTGATCTGATCCGATCTAAACTTATTTTTTATGAAATAAGGTGAACTAAACAAAGCCTTACCCCCCTAGCTTTCGAACAAAATAGAACAAATTTCAGTAAAGTAGAGTAGAGCAAAACTTCATACTACAAAGTACAGCAGAGCAAAACTTCATATTGCAAAGTAGAGCAAAGCAAATTTAAGAGGAAAGAGTAGAGCAGAGCATCTCAAAAGAACATGACCTTAACCAACCCTCTTTACTTTATCTAAAATACGTACTCCTCCCTTATCAAATAATGACCGGTATAGAATTTTTATGCTCTAATTTCGCATAATTTTAACTATTTATATATATTTAATTTTAATTTCATTGTTCTATATGATTATGCAAAGTATATTACTCAGATTATATATAAATCTTAAAAAGTAGTAGCAGAAAATTTGTTATGTGATTTGAGAATTGTATGCATTGTAGTAGAGATGCATCTAGCAAGTTCTAACATGAGGGATATCACTACACCCTAATATCCTATGCATCTTCTTAGATGAATTATCAAAGAAAGTCAAAATGATTGTTAATAGTGTAGAAATTAATAATAGTACGCACTACCAAGTAGCATTACTTTCACGATAATTATTGTCGTTGATCCTATTAATCGCTAATACTACTACAGAGTACTATGTTTTGGTTACTTGTAGCTAAATTATTGGTACAGTATTTAAGGGTGTACAAAAAGATTTTTATTTATTTAATTTTTTTTTTTTTTTTTTATTTTATTAATTTTTTATTATAGTTCCAACTTCCAATGAGACAATGATAACCATAAATATCTGAAAAAATATAGGTTGAAAATAAATAGTTACACTCCTAAGTCCTAATATATGTGTTAGTACTTAGTACGTATGATGAGAGGGAACGTAACCCAGATAAATATAAATCTGATCAACTCCATGACAAGAGTTTATAATAAAAAAAAATAGTGATAATATAACATTAAAAATATCAATTGATATACATTTAAATTTAAAATTATAATCAATCGTCACATTAACCGCTTGTACAAGGCTACAAGTAAGAGAGAAATGGAGTAGTGATTGACATAGCTCCCACATGTGTTTAACAACATCATTATGAAGTAATAAGACACTGTTCTTTTAAATTGTTGTGATCTGCTCTGCTGAACCTTGCTTTGATTAATATTAATAATCCGCTTTGCTAACACGTACTTGTTATATTATAGTCAGAAGCTCAAATGAAAGCGCCTAATGGTAAATTGGCAATGCTGTCCAAAGTAGAGCAATAACATACAATTCCAAAAAGATATTTAAATTTAGCTATACTTAATCCAAAAATGATTCAAAATGGATTAGGTTATGCGAAATAAATGTTGATTATCTGATTACCTCTATTGATTGCTTACTTTACACCATACAAGTACAATACATCTTAATAATTAAATAGTTATAAAATATCAAAATGTTTATACAACAATTTCAAAGAACACTTAAGCTAATAATGTGATATAAATATAATTATGCAAAATATATTTAAAGAATTAAATAAAGTACATAATATATTTTTTTTCACAAGATCACACAAAAACAAAAAATGAAAACGACCCACCTTAATATCTAAAAATAATTATAATTTTGTTGGTGGGGGGCCTAGTGTGTTAAATTGACACTCTTCTCTTTTTATAAAGGCAGTCCCTCTAAACTGGAAAACTCCCTCACTCTTTTCCAACTTCCCTTTCTCTCTCTCTCTCTCCTCTTTTTTCCACCACTTTCTCTCTCTTCTTTTTTCTACTCAATTTCAGCACATCCGTGGGCAGTTTCACAGAAACTTGAAATAAAAATTATTTTCAAACAAAAAAAAAAACAAAAACAAAAAAAGCTGAAAGTGGATAAAACTTACACCTGCGCAATTTATGGGCTTTCTCATTAACCCACCAACCAATTTTTAAGAGAGAGAAAAATTTTCTTTTATTTTTTTATAAATATTTTTATTTACAAAATATATTTTAAAAAATTAGAGAAAATAATGGAAATGAGTGTTTTTTTCTGTATTGGGATCAGGAAAACTAAATTCTGCAACTGATAAACTACAGTAGCAACAGCAGCAGCAGATTCACTAGTAGTAGTAGCAGTTTTTAGGAGTATTAAGCTCTGATAAACTCTCTCTCACATGGGTTTTGCATGTGGATTTTGGTGGTCCCATTTGATTCTATAATCTTCAATTTTTTTTTTTTTTTGGTTTATTCAATTAAAGTTTTCATCTTTCAAGCAAGTTACCCATTTCTTTTGGGATTCTTCAGCTGAGTTTTGGTTGGTCTTATTGTTGAGAGATCCAAGTTTTGATTTTTTGGGAGTTTTAAATTTCATCAATTTCCCAAGTTTTCTTCTTGGAATAAGGTAATTTTAGCTAAATTTTTAAACTTTTTTTTAATTTCTTGCTTAAATATGTATGGTTATACAACTGGATTGTGTGTTTTTTAACAATGTTTTGATTTGTTTATTTTTTGAAGGGAATGCTGAGGAAAAGATCAAGACAAGTGACAAGTACTCAAGGCATAATTTCTGATCATAACAATAATTCATGGATTCCACCTGAAAAATCCACAAAACCCACTTCATTTTTCCTCAACTCTCCTAAATTTCTCAAGAGTTTCTTCTCTTCCTCTTCTTCTTCTTCATCATCTTCCTCTTCGCCTTCGCCGTCGCCGGCTTCTACACTTAATGATCCAATAATGAGCCCAACTTCAATCCTTGACAATAAAGCATTCACTGCTTTAGCAAACTCATTTTGGGTTGTTGACAACAACAACAAAAACCCAAAAACCATCTCAGCAAACTCACAACACTCTTGGGAACAACCCAACAACACAAAGGGTATTGGACTTGCTCTCATTGATGAGAACAGTTCTGAATCCAGCAACACAGCCAACAACACCAGCAACACAACCAACAACAACAACACAACAAATTCCAAGCAACAGAAAAGAAAATTAGTTGTGTTTGGTTCACAACTTAGAATCCAAGTACCTCCCCTGCCTCCATCCTCTGTTTTCCCCTGTTTTTCCCCTGAATCACCAAGAGAATTTGGGATCAAAACACCCAAAAACAGTTATTGGCCTTTTGGAAACAAGGATTCACAAGTTCATCCTCAGGAATCCAATGGAAATAGTGGTGGGAATGATAATCTTTCATTGAGTGATATGGAATTATCTGAGGATTATACTTGTGTAATATCTCATGGTCCAAACCCTAAAACTACTCATATTTTTGGGAATTGCATTGTTCAAAGTTGTTGTGGTGTTGTTGGGTCTTCATCTTTTTCATCTAGGAGAAATGGGTATTTGTCTAAATTTGGAAATTCGATTTCATCACCTGAGAATTTCCTTAGTTTTTGTCACCATTGCAAGAAAAAGCTTGGTGAAGGGAGTGACATTTACATGTACAGGTATATACCAATTCACTCTTACTCTTGTTATTTTAATTTTCTTGGTGAAATGTTGTGATCTTGATTGTGCTAATAATGTTACACTTTATTTGTCCGGAATCAGTAATCATTTTACTCGTTGATAGCGTAATTTAAACTTAGTAATCAGGATTGAAACGAAAAGGAAAATGAGTATTGGTATTAGTGGATATCCATTGTTATCTTGATTAGTAGAAATATGATATTGATATTGATATTGTATAAGGTTTGCCATTATAGTCATATAGAGTAGTTTGTGTGTTAATTCTTAATATAGACTTGGTCCATTTAATAATTGCATTTGATCCAATCAATCATTGTACCTTTAAGAATTTGGCCTATTTATCTAAGCAAGTAGGCACATAGCCCATTGAATATGTAGGGTACTTTATGAATGGATCACTACTTTGAATTCTTTACAATAATTAGTACTCATTTTGTTTTTAATAATAGGGTAATGCTATACATAGCCCTTAGGGCTATATATAAACATTGAATTTACTCTTGGAAAATGTATAAAGTTGGGAATTCATGACAAAAATACACGCAAATCGGTGTAATTAGTGTGTTTTGTCATGATTTTCTAAATTTAAACAATTTTCAAGAGTAAATTAAATGCTTATATGTAGCCCTTAGGGCTATGTATAGCATTTTCCTTAATAATAATAGGCTACATTTAACCTTTTATTTTTAACAAATTTTGTCAATACTTGATCGTTACCTTCTTACCATTCTATCATTGAAAATTAAAAAAATTGTTACCTAATGATGCTCTTATGAAAGCACCCATTAAGAAATCTAGCTCTCGATCATCGCGGTTATACTTCATAACATTATATGTACATACATTATACGAGTATGTATGATTATATTTAGTTGGTTAAAGACTTAAAAGGTGATCTATTATTATTATTATTTTGATTTACGAGGTACTAATGAGTTGCACAATTTTTTATGTAATACAGAGGAGAAAAGGCTTTTTGCAGTCAAGAATGCCGCTGCCAAGAAATGCTTTTTGATGAAGTGGAGAACTAGAAGTTTGTTCTCAGAGAATTTCAGCATCTTCAAACCAGAATTAGCTACCTAAAAAACCTCCCCAATTTTTCCTACTATTTTTGATTATATAATAACCTAATTAAAATCCCTTTTTTTTAATTTTAATTTATCCCTTCTTTACTTAATGTTGGTTTAGTCTTTAAGAAGTTTTGTCCAACAATTTGTATAAGAGAGAGGAGAATAGGAGATGCTGAGGTATTATATTAGATGTGAAAAAAAAAAAATTTGTAGAGTTGATTTCTGATGAAAATGATGACCTAAGTTTTGATTCTCTCAATTTTTATTTTTTGGTACTTTATTATTATTATTATTATTATTATTACTACTACTTAAATCTCGCTAACAAGTTCTTTTGGGGCATTGAAGACTGAATAACCATATAAAAAATTATTCATGACGTTGATCAGCTTTTGCCTTATTATTTATTTTTAATAAAATTATTATTATTACTCCATATTATTGTGTTTTTTTTAGAGGATGATGTTGATTATTTCTTTAATTATTTTGGATGATGAAATTTTCTTCGATTATCTTTGAAAATAAATGACTTATTAATACTCAATCATGCATTATAAACAATTAAAAATAAAAAGTGGGGTCCCATAGTAACTTATTCCATTAAAGCTATGTCCTGTCTTGTTTGTCCATCTTGGTTGATCAATAATTATATCTCAAGACTCATACCAATTTTTTTGTCCATTTTACTTTAGTTGAGTAATCATCCAAACAACTACCACAATTGATAAGATCCAAAATACATGACATAATAACCAAGGAAATTCAATTATTTTGTTCATATAATTGAGTTGGTAAAAAAGACCCTATAAACATTGCTTTCATTATTTGTAAGTATTTGTCTTTAAGCTCTCAGCAACTTTGACATTGTAGTAAAATATTGTTGTGGATCTCCAATTACTCCATTAGAGTTTTCGATTAGCTTTAAACGTGAATCCGATGTTTATATTTTCAAGTGTCTATAGTCTACCTACTTGTGCTTGTTAAAGTTTCCGTCTATTCTATTGATCCAAGCTATACTCGAATCAAACATAAATTTATTACATGTTTGTTGATTGAGCTTGCTTGAACCAAATATTATTAATATGACGGTTATTGATTGATGATAAATTTGAATAGGAGTTGTTCCAACTAATAATTATATTGACGGACTCATTTCAAAATGAACCAATCAAACTAAATGAACCAATCAAACTAAACAATCTGTTATCAGATTGTGACCTATATGTCTTTTTTCAATCTATGTATAAACGTCTTGGTCTCTAATTAAATTATTAAAGCTACAATTATTCATGATTAACCTCTCATATGACTATTTATATCTACATTTACTAAGAGCTCTATAAATTGATTTCTCCATGCCATTTCCCTAAAAGATAGGCCTAAACACTTGGGTTTAGTTCCCTAAAATAAACCTCATTCTCATGATTATCCTAACATTAGGTATAAGGCCTACTTGTAAGTGATTCCCCTACATTACTAAAATACCAACATATAATAATGAGTATGAATTATATTTGTAGCCTTTAATTGAAGGGTAAGGGACTTGTAGCTCCAAAAAATATCAAACATGTCCTGCATATTAAGGGTAGGTGACTTTTGAGCTAGTAAATTATTGCTTAGTAGCCTTTTATATAAATCTTTTGAAGAAAATATTCTAAGTAGCTAGTTTCGTGCCCTTTTATGATCATATCATCGATCTAGTGGAGTTGTGGCGTGGGGGGTTGATTGTGGTACCCATTAACGATCAATTCAAATATTTGCGGGAAATATTAGCCATCTTGAGACTCAAAAAATTAATTAACTAACTACTACGTACTCCTTATGAATTATATCGTATAAATTATTAATTGTAATAAATAATACTCGTAGTAATAAGTATTATTATGAGTAATGTTTTGTCCTCCAAATATATTGAGCGAAATATATCACACGTCAACTAGTGTATGACATGCTCAAAGTATAATGCCACACTCAACTCCATGATTTTTTTTTTTTTTTTTAATTAATTGATGCATGATATTGATATGGAGTAAGTTGCACCAATGTCACAACTTTTATTCTATGACTAAGGTAAGATGTGCAATTTTAGATTAAACTCGTCTTTTATTTATTATTACATTAGACTACTACTACACAATAGTGATATACTTTAAATAAATTAGGGTAACTCCGAAACTAGCCGTTTTCTTTTTTATTTACCACATAATTGTTGTCTACTTTTTTTTATTTACGAGGTAAGATAAAAGGAACATTAAGTCAATGTCAATTTGGAGATCAAAGAAGACTATATACTCATTCATTTGCACGGCCTAAGATAAACTTAATTTGGCTACCATTTATCCAAATTTTTATCCATAAGCTATTATCCATTCAATAAATTATGTTATCAATTAAATTTATCTAATGTATGTAGACAAGCTAAGTTTTAAGTATTCCGTATTATTTATTTTAAGAGACGTGTTAGAAGAAAACACCCTATAAAAGAGTCAAAATAAAGGAATGGCAACCCAAAAGTAAGTATTGTAAGGAGTTAGGAGTACATTTGAAGTAGTTAATAATGGAAATATTATTTTCTTATCTATCATCGTTTATTTTTTTGAAGAATCTAATTTATATCAATTGAATTACCCCCATATATAGAAAAACAAAACCTTGGTTTGAATTATCCTTGGGCTTCATTTCACCTTATTAACATAATAATGAACTCAATTAAGGTGTACCTCCCACTGTTATTAAGTGGTCCAAAAAATATCTCTATCTTACAATCAAATTATAATTAATACTTTTTTGAAGGGAAATTTAATTAATACTTCATATAGATGATTGCTGCCCTATTGTCCTTGATTGTCCACCCTCAATTACTAGTCTATAATAATTAATACGGTCTAAAAATCCAATCATATAGTATTTTAATTATTAATTTTAACAATAAATATCCAATCAATTAATATTATTATTGTTATTTTTTCTATGTATGAGTTAGATTACTTAGTTCAACTACTTATCCTTATTGACCGAAGCCTTGGAATTTAAGAAATTAAGACTACCTGTATAAATAATAATAATAATAATAATAATAATAATAATAATAATAATAATAATAATAATAATAATAATAAATAATAATAATAATAATAATAATAATAATAATAATAATAGTAGTAGTATCTTTTATTCTTCTTAAACAAGCTATTTTGCATAAAATAATACAGTAAATTAAATCATATATAGCTTAATCAAGATATATCATATACAATGTACCTATATTATGGTTGTATATATCTTAAGTTAGGGACATACATACGACGTTCATTATTCACTATCAAAGCTAGCTAGGTGTCATACAGCTCGATTATTATTCCTCGTATAATGCTTGAAAGAAATCGTTTAATATCTTTCGCAAATTATTCAAACTAAATTTAAGGATGCTATTTGAAAACGCAAGCCATTTGGATATGAAGATATAACTTGTCGTTTAATTATGTTTTGTGGAAAGTGTTAGGAAATTCAATCAACAAGGGGTGATACCAATTAAGCCTTATTGATAAGTTGGTGTATCTTGAATTTGACATTTAAACATTTAACATAAGGAGACATTTGAATATTGATACGTATTAGACAATATAAACTGTCAAACACGGCTTTATTAATTTTATGTTTCAAGGGAATTAATATATCAAAACATTTAACTGTTACGCATAATCTAAAACCTCTCATAATGATGAGTTGATGACATTATCCTTCAATTAATCCAAAATTTTTACAAATACTTTTAATTTATTTTTATAATTGAACGCAAGGGTAAGAGCCTCTTCTCATATGATTATTTTTAGTTCAGTTCAGTTTAGCTCTCAATTTCCTTCTCTTATAAAATATTCATTTCAGTTCAGTTCAATTCTGTTAAGTTCAGTTAAGCTCAAATAAATTCAGTCCAGTCCAGTTTAGTTCAGCTGAGTTCAATCAATGAGAACAGGCCCTAAGGTAGTTATGTTGACGAGTAAATTTACTTGTCATATCTATACTAATAGTATGAGTGTTCGATTAACCAACTACTTTGCATCTACATCATGAGGTTCTAGCCTTCTAGGTGTACCACTTATATTATCCATTCGACAATATTGTTACTTTCAAATAGAGAAAGGGGATGGAATAATGAAAAAGAATGGAGAGAAATGAATCGAAACTACTTCAAACCAATTTTGTTTGGTTGGCAAAAAGAATAGAATAAATTGTTCTATGACATTGTTGGTATCATAACTACTTTCAGTTCCTCCATCGATCTCAGATTATTATCCGATCCGTGTAATGAACATTTTCTAATTTCATATCACAACTCTTAAATTTTCATTTACGCATTTAACAGTTGCTGAACGAACAAAGAGGCAAGCTGCAGACATTAATCTTTACGCTGAGAAAGTGTATGGGGGGGGGGGTATAAGGTCAGCTAATGTGTGTAATAGCCCCAAGGTGTGGAAGGCTCCACCAATGGATGTTGTGAAAGTTAACTGTGATGCTTCAGTTGATGCGGCTGGATGGATTGGCATGGGTGTCGTAGCTAGAGACCATTCTGGTACGGTGATTTTTTCAGCTACAAGGAGGGTACGGGGTTTTTTTGGAGCCTATCATTGCTCTCAAGGTAAAGCCTTGGTGCTTGCTGTCAAGTTAGCTAGAAATTTTGGACTTAAAAATGTGATATTTGAGTCTGATAACTCATCCATCGTCTTGAAGCTTTCCAAGACGGACATCCACTTAACCGACCTTGATTTGATCCTTGAAGATATTTTATTTTTCTCCCGTAGCTTCGATTTTGTTTTTCGTCTCATGTAAGGAGAGATGGGAATTTTGTGGCCCATCATCTCGCTAAGCTCATTCCGTTCGGTCATGAACTAGTGTGGGTAAATCATGTTCCTTTTGAGATTTCCCCTTATGTTTTGAAGGACTCTATGTCCTTGAATTAATATAATCGGCTTTCGGTTGTTTCAAAAAAAAAAAAAGGATTAAATGGTTAATACTTCCTCCGTTCTGTTAATATTGCAACAAGGAGGAAATTACGCATCCCAAAACACATTTTATATGCTAAATATCTATAATTGTGTAAGAGTAAAAATTATAAAAAGTTGATATTGTGAAAGTATTATATGAGATGAATCCAACAAGATCCCAATTGACTATATTTTGCTTAACGTATAACTCATATTATATGGTCAAACAAAAGTGATGAATAGTGTAAAAAGTCCATTGTTACAATATTAATACAAGTATAATTATTTAAGGGGGTAATAAGGCCGACAACGGATGGAAAATCGTAGAGGGATTGGGCCAAGAGGAAACATACGCAACTCCCTTAGGCAATTCACCAAAGTCCAGAGGGCCAATTTTCATTTTGCCCAAGATAATGCATGTGGTTCTAATGCTTATGCAAATGGTGCCAATAACGATAATGCAAATGTTAAATACTTGTAATACCCCTAATTGACACACTATTTGAGAAAATAATTTTAAAAAGTATGGGCAAATTCATAGAAATATTTTAAAGCATATTATCATAACATTTTCCACTGATCGATTTAATTTAACCGCTTTGTTAGAAAAAAAATAATTCACACGAATATGGAAAAATGGAGCTCGGAGTTTAGTGAGCTAAATTTAAGTAAAGTGGTAGGTAGCTCTTTGTCTAGCCCTCTTACGCCAATAATGAGCAGGGCTAATCTGAAGTGAGTATTCCGCATTACAGTGAAGCCATCGACGCAATAATGATTGATGTAGTGAAAGTGAGAATGTTAACTTCTCTCCTCCATAGAAAGATTAAGCATGCCCGCTTAACACCTTTAGACTTTCCCTCCTCGGCCTAAGGCGAGTCAATGTGAGGATGCTGATCTTCAGACCGCCTTTATCCTTTCCAACCACAGCTTGCTCAGTTTGGATGCTGTTGATTTTCAGTTTTTAGTCTGCTGCTCTATTCGTTGCGCTCTGTTCTCACCATCTCAAATTGACGGTCATGGCGCTCATTAACGGTTTCAGGTATTAAGGTATTTATTCAGCCATCAGACTTCACCAGATGCTTATGACAAATCAAAGCACTTGTTTTACAGTTATAATCCTTTATAGTGCGCACCCAACCTTAAGGATGTGGGAATTAAGTCACTATCCCACACTGCTTAAAAGTTGTTCGAATTGGCTCGAATTAAAGCAACACTACACGTCTGCAGAGGTCCTCATTAAGGACAAAGTTTAGAGCTGCTCGAGTGGCTTGTAGAATGTGGTTAAGACGGAGAACTATACACCACATGTGGTGCACGGTGCATCCTAGACTCCTAGCAGTACACAGAGTAAGAAACAACCTTTGCATAATAATATTAATTTTGCACATAGGAACAGAACATTCACCATTCAAGCGACGAGTATGGATAACATTTACTCAAGTAATGAGCCAAAGGTAAATCAAAAGCAACAACTCCGGGATTTAGAAGATGCAATGTCAAGGATTCTAGTGATGTGATAGATTTATATCTTAAGATATACTCTAAACTCAATTTAACTTGCAAAATTCATCCTTTAACCCTAAAAAAAAGGCTTAAGCACGTTAGTCATAACGGGCCTAAGCAAGAGTTGGTAGCATACAACAGAATCAGGATTATTACTGTCCAACAAGCACATCAAAATCTTGCATTTAGAGTTCAGAAAGTACGCCCACGATGCTTATATAAACATCATTTCTCTAGAAAAAAGCATTCCACATCTTGTGTACTATGATCAAATACACCACCACACCAATTTCTGTGCAAAATGAAACATAGCAACAGTGCTATTCATGTTTAAGAGAGAGCATTGTATAACAGGGTATATTTATCAGAATCAACAAACTCAAGCCAAATGGAAATAAAAAAAACATCTGAATTGCTAAATAAAAACCAAGAGTCTACAACGATGCTTAACCCGCAACGATGAGGGAAAAGGTCTACGCAGATGCTCAACTGAAAATGAAACATAAATAGTCCAAACCACAAACTAGATCTACTAGTTCAACAAAGATACACTAGTACACAAGACGAACTGCCAAAACAGCAAGAGCACAACAGACGGTTCCACAAAGTGATCTACATAGAAGCATACTAACAGAGCAGATGCACCAGTCAAAAGCAGAACTCCAAATCCTTCACCGACTGATCCATTCAACTGCACAAGAAAAAAAGAGAGAGCAATCAATCCCACGTCTTAAAAAGTTAAACTACATAACCAAAAAAGGATTTAATTAAACCGTTTATCTTACCTTTAACAAAGCTTCAGATTGCCACAAGCCAGATGAAGAAAGAAAGGAAACATCTCCTGTTAAGAAAGACTGAAAAGCTAGATATTGAGGAAGGAATTGCAACAGAGGCAACATAAAGAAGCTCTGCAGAAGACAGAACACAACTACAAGCTATTTCTTAGTGCTGTGCCATCTTTACCTCTCAAAAAACCAGTAAAGAAGGCCAGCACGGATGATCTGACACTACTGTTAACTAGAGTCAGAAGCTAACTAGAAGCAGAAAAGAAAAGGAGCAAGATAGTGAAGAAACTATTTTTAGAATAGCAAAGAAAATATTGGAATGAGAAGTAAAGGTAAGAGGCTAAAGAGTTAAGATAACTAATAAGCCTAGAAGTAAAAGATGAAGAAGAAGAGACAATCTTTGATTGAATAAGGATATAAAAAAAAAATATATATAAGAAGAAAGTCGAGATCAAAGAGTCAGTATGTTCAGGAGTCTAATTCTCTACAGTATACACAGAAATGTTAGGTTTCAAAACTACAGCTAAGAGTAATGATCAGAGAAACTTGAGGTACATTAGATGAGGGAACTAATCTATACTTGGCACGATCAAGATAACCAAGCTGAAAATATTGCCCTTCACAAGTCCAATGGACACAAGGGTTACTAATTCACCCACGTCATATTGACATGAAATAAATTGTCACGTCTTTTGTTCTTCTTCTGCCTCTGAAAGTTTCAGAGAGATTTAATCATCCACCAATGTGACACTCCCTCCACAACATACTTCTTTCTACAAACAAACACCAAAACTACATGAACCACCACAAAACAGTAAGGAACCCCAGAGCCTGTTGACTACCAGCTGCAACTGTGATCTTGTGCCTTGTCTACCATAGCTACTAAACATCAAACTAGCCTAACTGAAAGGCAATTTATTTCCCTGTATATACACATCTACGATACTACTAGTACTTAACATCCCAGCCTCCACTCAATCATCAGCAATATCAAGATTGAGGATCCGACGAAGAGTCTTAGTAGCAGAGTCATCATCACGGAGGAAACTGAAGGGCGAGCGAGCAGATTCTCTACTCGGGGAAGCTGGGGCTGACTTAGGCATTGGTGGCAAGTTCAGATCAGACTCCAAGGCAGGCAACTCAAGTGACACAGTCCTCTTAGGTTTCATAGAGAACTTGGGCATGGGCAGAGAACTCGGAGGAGGTGAGTTCGAATATGCAGGTCCTGCCCATAGCTCCGAAAAGGACAGACTTTCCCTTGGTGTCCCCTTCTTACCATCCCCCTTCAACTTTATAGGGATTGGGCTACTCCTCACCGATCTTTTCGAGGTCTTACCATCCTCACTCATCGGTTTCCCACCACTCTTAGCACATGGGGTTTGAACTTTAGGGGACACAAAACCCCGGTTCATCACCGGAGAGCCGTAACCCTTAAAAGGGCTGGGAAGTAAGCCCATCCCAGATTCAAATGCCCTACAATTGATATCCCTAAACCCTCCAGATGGTGATGAGCCACACCCACCCTTTCCCCTACCACTGTAGTATTGATTCCTGTGCTGTGCTACAACTACAAGGGTTTCCATTTCAAACAGCAGACAAAATACACACAAATTTCACCAAATCAGTGACAATTAACCTCCTCTTTCTGAAGCTAACTTTATCAAAAACTGACTATAATCTCTTTCAAATAAAACCACTTTTTTCTTCTTTAACAAACTAATTTCAGATCTAACCAAAATATAACCAATTTCTATAGCATCAACTAATCAAAGTCACACTTTCAAGACCACTAACACAAACCCCAGAACAATAAAACCTCAGATCTCCACCAAAATCACAACAAGAACAAATTGCTGGTATAACTCAGCCAAAATCGACAAATTTACCCAGTTTTTAAAGCTCTTTTTCCAGACCAGATCCAGCAATCTACCGCACCAACCAACCAAATGAAAGATTTCAAAAATCTGCAAAATCACAGAATAAATATCAGAAAACACTCAAATCAAAGCAGTTTCACACACAAAAAAACCTCAAATAAAAGCCAAAAACACAAAGAAAAATCGCAATTACCAGATCTGGGAGTGAGAGGGAAGAGAGAAAGACCCTTTAGGGCTCGAAGAAATGGAGATGGTTTAAGAAATAGGTGGGTGATGTTAGTTTTAATACGAGTAGAAGTGAGTGAAAGAGAGGAGACAGAATGAAAGAGAGAGAAAGAAGAGAGAGAAAGTGAGAGAGTGAAAGGGGAAGTTAAGAAGGAAGATGGAGAGATGATGGGAAGGAAATATGGCTAGGAACTGTGGTGGGTCTTTTGGTCAACAGTGGTGTGTGGATTACTGGATTGGTTTGTAACGATTTTTACAAATGTCTTAATTCGTGAGAGGTTCCGGCCCAATAAAAAAAAAATCTAAGAAAAACATTTTGTAAAACTAGTAATTACGGAGTAATATTTTTACTACTATTTTTTTAATACCACGGAGTAACAGTTAATTTACTAACAGAGTAAAATTGAGAATGAAAACAAACTTTACAGAATATAGAGGGTTACGAGTATATAGAAATATACAAATTCTTAGTAATATGGATCACTTATTAATATACTAAATATTAACAAAACTTATTAAGAAAGAGTTGGCTCATTTGGTAAGACTGTTACCTTAGATCTTAGATGTTTGGGGTACGTATCCTATCAAGTGAGAGTCTCTATTTCCAAGTGTCTGGTCCGCAAATAATGGACCAAAAAAAACCGTTTGACCACCTTTTAAAGGTTTTCGATCAAATAATCACAAACCACAGACCTTGATTGGATTCTTTATTTTCATATAATATGATTCTTACATGTTATTTTACTTATTGGTGGTTATACGGTTAGTATTTGGATTAATTAAAGTATCACTTCATTGTATTTGTATTTTCACTACAATCACATACGAATATAACTATAATCGCAAGATTTCGAGGTTTTTCCACGTTCGTTAGTTCATGCAATCATGCATGCATAGTGGCTTACTTACTAATAGAATACTAGCTTGGCTCGTGAGTGATTATTTAACTTGAGACCGTTTCAATTCTAGGAGAATAAGAAAGAGACAATGTTTTGACTTGATGATTTGTCAATGCCTCTCATTGTCATGTACTCATGTACAAGTAGTGTAAAACTCTACAACTGGCTATTAATTAAATTAAAAGCACTCTTTTACTTGTTATAAGCTATGCCATTTCCGAGTATATATATATAGTTAGTGCACATACGTAGTGTATATTAGTGTATAGATTTTTTTTATTTGTTTTTTCTAATAAGGTGCATGAGGAGCCCCCTCCTATCACAGGAGGGGGGTGAGGTTTGAAGCCTCGTCACGCTTGGGGGTAAATGGCCTAAGGCACTAACCATATCTCCATCCCCTACATCCTCATATTAGTGTATAGATAGAAATTGAAACGAATGAGGATTTATCTTAAATGAAATAAAATATACATAGTATATAAAAGGAAGAAAATTGTCAAAAATAATATTGTATGTTGTAATTATTTTGACGATGGGGGTATTATTTTATTACTTGTATAGTTATATAATACCATACGGATTATATGAGCTGGTTTGAGTTTTGATTAAGTGTGAGTTAATATTGTTTTTATTTAAGTATCTAAAGTGGTCCAAATTGGTCCAAATTCGTCTGTTTAGTTGAGCAGTTCACACATCAACACCGTCCAAATGGAGAAAGAAAAATAATTCTAAAGCTAGATCAAGTCTTTGCCAAACATTTTTTTAGTAAAAAAAATCTATGGTTGAACAATGGGAACAAAAAACATATATAAAATGAAAGGTTCATTATATAAAAGGTGATATTGTTAAAGGTTATTTGCAAAGTGCCAAAGTATGGAATTGTGGAAATTTTGAATTAATTAGTCTTACTTTAGCAGAATGGACTAGTAATACATAGAGAGTCAAATCACCTTTAGTAATAAGGAAGACTGGAAGACTGAATTTGGTCATATACTTGTTTTTTTTTTCCTTATTACACTATCCAATAATTAACATCAAAATATAATGCACAATTTGCTGTCATTCTAAATTTAGTTTGTAATAATTTTACATTTAAATTGCTAATTCTAAATATGTTGCATATACCAGTACTTCGTGTATTATAATTTTCAAGATTTAGACGTTAATTGAGTGTTTTTATTTGTATTATTATTTTAGTTCATAACTTATTCAATTATTGCACAATAATATTCGATTTTCAAAATGAATCGAGACCATATAATCTATTATGCCTACAATACATGCATATGAATCCAATAATAATACCCTTTGCTCATTATTCGGAAAATTATCAAATAATAACCCAAGCAATGTCCATGTACCCTAACTACGATTATGTATTGTAATTGCACAAATAATGAAAAGGCAGCCAAGTATAGGTCCTGTGTTTAGTGGTTAGACAACAATACTAGAGAATAATGAGAGGCGGGGAACATCTTGAGGAGGAGACACCCTACATTATTAATCCAAGTAAGGCCCTCCATTAAAATTAATTACTTTATTAATTATTTATTCTTCTCATAATTATACAGAATTTACGTAGTATATTTCTTCTCTTTTTGTCATAATCGCATTACAGCTTGACACAAGTTGGGGACAACTTTTTGTGAATTATTGCAATAATTAAGGGTAATTTTGTAATTTTAGGTTAGCTTTGTACTAGTTTGACTCATTGTATTGTACTGAGTACCATGAGTAAATTATCATTTTTTTTTTCCCTTTTTAAGGTAAAGAGAAAGAGTCTGACCATATTTCAACTCTCACAGTTTTTTAATCCGGGATTTGTGGGTCCATTCACTTTGAGAGTGAGGGGGAAGGGTAAGGGGACCCTCACTTCAAAGTGTTTCTAGTGAAGATTGAACCCTCAACCTCAAGGTTGGAAGGTGACAATCTTACCACTACACCAAGCTCAGTTTGGTACTCTACGAATACATTGACTTTGAACTTTTATGAAATCTTCATACCTTAATACTTAGTACTAATGTTGAATGAACATAACACTTTTAAAAGCGTATAATAATATAAATATAATACTATTTTTTTTTTTTAGTTTACATGTTTTGATTTCATCACTATTTACACACTCCCCTTTAACCATGTCTAGCTTTATATGTAATGAAAATTATAGTAATATGAGATCTTGTTAGATTCGTCACAATAATATTTTCAAAACATCAACTTTTCATAATTTTTATTTATCGGTAATTAAATATATGAATGGTTGAACTTATTTATCAACAAATATGATTAAAGAAAAGTGTAAACTAGAACAAACGGAGAAAGTACACAAGAATTACAATCACTCATCCCTAAGACAATAATATGAATTACTGAACTAGAATTTTGTTATTGTGAGATCCTCCTCCACAAAATTTGTCAACTTTCTAACAATTTGTAATGCTCCGTATTTTGATAAGAAATATGAAGTACTCCGTATGTTTCAATCGTTATGTGTTACCAATAACTGTTACCTAAGACCTAGCACTAAAAAGGGTTTTATTATCAATCAATAAAGTGTTGACTCATTTGATAAGACTCTTATATAAAATTTTAGAAGTTTGAGGTTCGAATCCTACCACGTTAATGTAAGAATTTTTTTAATTGCTACAGTGATATTTTTAATGTGTCATTATATTTACAATGGAATTTTTAATGTATTACTAGAGTATAAGCTACTTTAATAGTATTATTTATAGCTATTTTAGGTTTAAAAAAAAACACCACTGTTTTATTGTATAACTGATCACTTGACATGTAAATTGCACCTATGCGCCAATACTTAACTCTGAGCGAGTAGATTGATTAAGACAAGGGAGATGATAGGCAACCTAAAAATGGCAGTTGTTGTGAGGTGGTCCACCGGCTGCAGCCGGTAAGGCAAAGTAATATGCAAAGGGTATCGTGTTTCCATTTTGGGGCCTGGAAAATATAAAATGAAAGGATTCTTTACTTGTGGGGTACACAAAGAAGAATAAAGGCAACCCCATTTTTCGCCTTTATTATAACTCACCTTTTGTTCTCACGCCGAAAGTTACACTAAGCAACAATTCTATCCTACTTTTGCCCTTCATGTCTTTTATACGGGTTATTCGGTCATTAATACATAAATTATCTTTTTTTTTTTATAAATGGTTACATAGTGCAGTCAGCTATCTATAACCTAGGATGCACGGAAACGGATACGGACACGGACACGATACGGACACGGGAAAACGGCAATCCTAAAATAGGGGACACGGGTACGGCGTATAACAAGGCATATAATATATTAAAAAAAACGAGAATTTGACAACTAATTCAATAAAACACTAAATAATTAGCCTCAAAACACACAATTTTAATTAAACAAGTAAATGAACAAAGTGTACGGACATAGTCGGATACATATCAAGAAACCATCAAACCAGACATGTCTTAATAGTACTCTTCAAGTAATCAAACAAAACTAGAAACATAACACAAAATCAAACATCTCATCAAGTAATCAACAAAACTGTCAAAACACGGTGGTGGGCGGTGGTTGTCTGGCTGACGACGAACAACAAATTGAATTATTGAAGCAATTGAATTTCAGAAAATCAGAAGTTCTTACACACTTACACTGATTAAAACCCTAAAAAATTCCCCAAATTAGCATTACTCGAATTCACTTCAGAATCACAGCAATTGTTGAATGGCAGAAATTGAGCTCCAGTAAAGATAACAATGGAGCTCAATTGTTGAATGGCAGAACACCAAGAAATAAGCACGAAAAGGCTGAAATTGAGCTCCATTAAAGACAACAATGGCGGAGACTCAGAAAATGAAGACCGATTAAGTTCTCTCCCAGACTCCATTCTCACCGACATTCTCTCACTTCTCGACATCCAAGGATGCATATTCAGAACTTTAATTGAATTTAAAAAAAAAAAAAAGTAGAGAAGAACCATACCTGGTGGCTGACACGGACGACGGGCGACAAGGTGGGCGGTGGAGTGATAGGTGGTGGCTGAGGACGAGCAGGCGAACAGCAAGGGCCAGGCCAGCAACTCCAGCAACCCCCGCAACAATGAGAGATGAAGGCCACGAGCAGCAAGGGCCAGGCGAGCAACCCTGACAACCGGCAAGGAGGCGAGTGGCGGTGACGGAGACAGCAAGCCGGCGGTACGGTGAGACCTACAAGTCGGCGACTGAGCAAGTGAGCAGCAAGGGGTTCAGTTGAGACTTGAGAGGATGAGAGGATTGAGAGTTTGAGAACTGGAAACTTGGAAAGAGGTAGAGAGGCAAAGCATAGGAATTTAGGTATTTCGCGTGTCCATA